ACACTGTGCAATTAGGTGCGTGATTCTTCCACGGATGCCTTGTCACATGGTTGGACACCGCAGTGACAAACACGACCCCCTGTGACAGACCCGACCAGCCTCCTACTCCGTTTTGGTTAAGTACACCAATCCCTCCAAACGAACTCACCAAACGATGCTTCTCATCGACTTCGTAGCGCAATTGTCGACCACAAGTGCTCATCTCAGCACGACCCTCACCGTCACGGACTTCGTACGATTCATCACCTTAGCGTCCGAAGTTCACCATAATGCTGGAATTGCGATGCGTCTCACACCCCATCGACCAACGGTGTTACCTTTCCTCACAAGCGCTCTCTCTCCCACCTTTCCCAACCACCTCATCATCGATCTCTGGACGTTAACTTTCCCTCTGTTACCCTGGACCCGCCTGGATCCAAAAGCTGCCATCCGCTTGTTGGGTCTCCAATTCAAGTTACCCAAACGTTTCTTACGCCCACCAGTATCTCAATGTGTTATCTGTCCAAATTCACCTAATTTACATGTCCACACCCGCCTAAATGGGTACCTTTACGACACGGATGGTCTGCACTCCGTTCAGACGGTCATCCTCGATTGCCCAGGTGGGTGAACCTCTCGAATTACTAATGTCCTTAATTTCCTCTAACCAATATCTAACTCGAATGCTACTATTCCAGGCTGTGGAGCATCATACCGCCCTAGCTATTACACGACCGCCAAAACGCGACACTATTATACCTTGGCCATGGGGCGTGATGTCGACATCCTGCACGTTCACTGTCACTACTACATCACTAACCGATTGGGCCACCTATTCCGTGTAATACAAATGCTGGCTCAGTATGTCAATATGTTCGTATGGAACCATAGCAATGTTTGTTTGCTGATGACCTCACCTCCCAAAGTGTCTCGCACTTCAACCTGACGAACTGGTACAACGAAATTTATATTGAAGACTTGGTTGATGTCCCAAATTTCGACGAGGTATATACGCCGGCCATGTCAGAGGCCGTTTGCCTAGACGCACTCAAACTACGAGATCTCCTCGCTCACGAAGATCACAGAGGCAAACAATTGCTCCTTCCGGCCACTGGAACCGATGACCTTCGGTTTGACGAGGCCATTGCCTCTCATCTCGACCGGCTTGATGTGGAAGGAACGTCCTTTAGAGATCATTATTGCAGCAGCTGCGTTCGGGTCAAATCAGGAGGTGTTGATCCTGACACCGGCGAGGAAAGATTTTATGGTACTGTACAGTTTTTTATATAGATTGGATTTGGCTAACATCGTGGCAAACCTTCCAGGCATTAGAGCAGTGGTCACTGATGGTCTGACCATCGGCCACTGGCGTTGCAGTGCAACGACAGATCAGCTCGAGGAGATAGCTAGAGATTCTGGACAACCACCGCCTGAAGGGCCATGCACCAATTGCTTGGACAATATAAACGATCGTTTTTGTCCAATTCACCAGTCACTTCTCGGAAGTCGATGTCACGTACAACCGTGCCAAAGAAACAATATGCCAGATTCAAAAACCTGTGACCAGACGGCCCACATAGAAGCGTGGGCCAAGTTCACCGAGCGCGTGAAATCCAATTTTTCCCTAACAGCCATCCTCAATCGACCTGGCTCTAATCTGCCGTCCGATCCCACGGTTCACCTGGATGCCGAAACGGGCGAATTTAACAATCTGGAAGGCTTGCGACAGGCTGACGAGGCCAACCGTTTCCACGAGCGCGGCCGTGATGGAGGCGAATCAAAATCACATGGCAAACTCGTAGTTTCGAGGTGCCGCACACACAATGACCAACTGGTTGTTGGCTGTTGTGGAATTGTTTTAGCCAGAACCACCTTCTATCACTCCGAATCAGTGAGTGCTGTTAAGGTGCGTCCCAAACATGATCTGATGTTGTATGGCTTTGATATTAACGTCCTTGTCCCTGCCTCAACCAGTGTTTTTTGGAAGATACTTTTCCTCAAGGTATGCCTGAAGTAGTCTTTTACGACAACGCATGTCGTCTAACCGAACACATCTACCACGGAAATGGTGATTCAAGACTATTTCAAGGTACTGTGATACCTGTGGATCCTTTCCACCATCGCTCTCATGCGGAGAGTGATGAATTTTGCAAGATGTTCACGGACCCAAAGCTCTTCCCTGATATACAAGAGGATGGAAGATGGGTTTTCAATGCCTCGGCGGCAGAACTCACGAATATCTGGTACGGTGGATTCGCGTCAATGTGTCGTAATATGCATTCACTCCGGTACAACTTTTTTTTGGAACAGATGGTCCACTTGAGGAATGTTTGGTTCACCAAAAAGTTGAACAAGCGCAAAGGAATGGAGTTCATGGGTAATGGATATATGTAGCTAGCTAAGCTCTGTATAGCCTTTGATCTCTCAACCTTGTAACTTGAATTATACTCGTGTCTTCTTACTTCTTACGTGAATGCTACCAAGATATGGTTTGTTTGTTTAAAATAAGTACCACATTACCTATGAAATAAATCAAGTCAGACAGACAAGCGATATGAAATGTATATGTGAAGTGCATCACAACTACCTCGAGAGGAGCAGTATGTATATGTTGTGTCATATGAAGTAACATATCATGCGCGAAAATTTTGATCTAATCAAATCTATAAACCAATAACGTGGAGATACAATTGCAATACTTGAAATGAATGGCAAGTAAATACAAGTACAACATTTAACTGTAAAAGTTGGACAAATTTCTTTCAACACGGTCAAGGTTTCGAGAGGAGGGAGGGACCAGCATTTAGGACCCAACGATGCCATATTCAAGGACCTAACGTTCGAAAGAAAGATAGTCAGCAAGAGGTGAACATCGCTTGTGATTTTCATACATACGCACTTGGACAATCAACTGATTAGATACCAAGTCTTTCGAATCGACGGTGCCCACGAACCACATCAATGTATTTATTTCGATATCTCCCATCTCGGATAAACCAGGAGAAAAATACCCAAAGCAATAAGTAATCGGAAAGTGCAATGCTTTTCTGTCCTGGATAAAGATAAAGATAAAAGCAGGCCATTGAGTTGATTAGGCCACCCCACCCAGATGCAACTAAACAACTTACTTCCGGATTGAAGATCTCATGTTCCGCTTGAACTGTAAGCTGCCATTCACCATCCTCATTGACATTGTCAAACGCGACCTTCTGTACCTTGCCGATAGAGCTGATCATTGCTTTACCTGCAAGTTCGACTGGTTCAGGAGGAATCGTCGCAACCAAACTCTGCGTGATGCTGCTGTGCTTAATAAAAGCAGCACCGTCGTCGAGATCTACCCCGACAGCACCATGGATGTGATACGTCTGATGACGGGTGAGCGCGTCATCAGCCATTACGTATCCGTATGCTGTGAGTGGGCTGAGGACGGGCTGGCCTTCTGGCCCTTTGAACACTATATGTGTTTCGGACTTGTGCCAGGCAACACCGCCAGGCGGCAAGCGCAGTAGAGTGGCCTGTAGAAGGGAAAATAAAGAAAGAGGTGGTACGAAAGTCAGGAAAGATACGATAAGACATTAACAAGGAGAGATAAGTCCTCATACATCGCTGGTTGTAGTTAGAATGGCCGACAGTGAGGCAGTCTGGCGTGGTCGAGGTGGCATGATGATTGATGGCAGCTGTGCTCTATCAATTTGTGAGAGTCAACGATTTAGGTGATTTATATCAATCCCCTAATTGCAGGTTGCGACTCGATGGATCAATAAACAGTGCCAGGGTTCAAGGGGTTCACGTGGTAGTGTAGACGACCACATCATCAGGTGAGTGTCAGGGTCGGGCGAAGGGTGTTGAGACGAGGCGCGGGAAAGTCCTGCGCTGGTGCCATGCCATGCTCACCTGTTGGTGAGGAAGGCAGCTGACGCAACACAAACTCGATGCTTCTAATTGGACCCTGCTTTTCATTTCACGCCCACACTTATGTATTAACAATCATTAATGAGTAATTACAGAAGAAAAAAAAAACAGTCTTATCCCTATCGTCTTTGTTCTTAGACATTCGCCACTGCTTGGAACTCCTTCTTGTAAAGAATCCGTGCTTGTCCGACGCTTGCACGGGGATTCTTCCTGTAATCTGCCAAGAATCGTTTGTACCCCACTCTTTCCACCCACTGCCGATTCCTATACACAGTTGAAGGTACCAAAACCCACTCGTGACCCCAAACGTCCTTCCATGCCTGCAGGGGAGGACGAGTTTCACACTCCTTGTACCACGCAAGAAGGGTTGACACAAGCACCTCTGGGCCAGGCCACTTTTTTTTCAAGGCTGGGTCGGACTTTGTAGTCGTAGTGGAAGTGGAGCCACCACCAGCTGATTCCTATTCGGAAGCAACAATCCATCAGTCACACGGTTTACTGACTTATGGCCAAATAGACATCGGATTTAAATACTCACGGGGTGATGACCTCTGTTCGCGTCGTGTCTTGGTGACACTTCGAAAGGGTCAAATATAGGTAGGTCTTCTGATTTTTCGCGTTTCACCATGTTTGGTTGGATCGTGGTTGGAAAGTTGCTACTCACCAGCTCAACTGAATTGTCTGAATGGTCGGTTTTGGGTGATATGTCACGGTTGGCGTCGGCACTGGCGGATGTCAGAATGGACTTCACCACAGTGATCTCGTCATCATCGGAATCGGGAGGCGCGCTGGCCCGTTTGGCAGGTGCACTAGCTGTCAGATAGGATTTAACCAAAATTATCTCCTCCCCGTCGGATTTGGGAGGAAGAGTGGCTTGTCCAGCTTTGGAGGTCGCAGGCTCAATCGGATCGTTTTGAATGAAGCCAGTACTGAGGTGCCTGGACTTGCTTTGCGGCAAACCAGGTGTACGAGGATCCACTTGTTGCGACCAAACTATGACCACTTTGTCGCTTGAGAGGAACCGGTGAGGAAAAGTGACCATAGTTTCATGCTGAACACAAAGAAGTGAAGCATGAAGACAAATTACAAATTATGAAATAAGAAGACTTGAGAGAACTTGAATACTTACCCAAGAGTCTAGCTTTTCGTCCCAGAAAAACAGGGCTCGGTTCCACGTAGGGCCCAGCGTCTGCGTGCAAGCTTGCATGAGCAGGCTGGATTCGTCAAGCCTAGCCTTCGGCCATTGCGCGAAATGCGCCGAAATGACCTTGCTTTCGTCCGCCTGCTTTTAACGCGTCAGTGCTATGGTCATTGATTTGGCCGTCACAGTGAAATCCCCCACCTTGAGCCACAGGTGGATTGTGACGACCTTGGTCTCATCGTATTTTTGAGCTATCTCCCGTTCAAAAGCTTCATATCGCTCACGCCGGTCGTTCTGGATGTTCGCAACGGTTTGAGGACCCAGAAGCCGTCCCAGCGTGTTAGCTGATTGGGCCCATTGGTGGATGCGGCCACCAGTGCGTGCGCGTCCTGTTTCGGGTGTCGCTTGAGTTGATGTACTGGCTTGAGTTGATGTACTTGCAGCCGTGCTAAGACTAATGCTACCTGAGGTCGATTGAGATGGGTGACGAGGTACTTGATGAGCCTTTGCCACATCCATCGGGTTTTTGATGTGGGCGGGGTGCGTTCGAGTGTGCTTGGAACACGCCCCCAAACCGTATTCAAGGCAACACTGTGTATACCACGCAAGTGATTGCATTAGTAATGAATACCGGTGCAAGATAACTATTGGGAATCAATCCTCACCGCTTGGCAGTACTGATAAGGGCAACCCTTATTCCCTGTCGCGCGATGAGTACGTGCGGTGGGCCCACGTGAAGGTCGCTGACAAGGATACTTGACCTTCACCCGATGTGGCCCTGCAAGCGAGTCAACTTGTGGCGTTTCCAACGTGGTGAGAGGAGGTTGTCGACCTAAGAATGGATGGTAAACATCATGAGGAATAGGGTTGGCCAGATTGTTGGTCCTGCTGGCGGTTTTGTTTCGATTGGTAGTAGATGGGTTGGCGAGGTTTGGGGGTTTAGGATCAAGTAAGACGCCAAATGGTGAAATGCGAGAACCCCAATCTTCTGGTGAAGAAACGATCGGTTGGGGAACCCCAGCGTTAATCAACGCCCGTTCGTGGTTCAGTTGATCACATCGCCAGGTGCGCCAGTTGTGTTGATTGTTTTTGGGCGGTGTGGGGCACTAAGTTTTGCAAAAGCACGTTCCATTAGTTAATTGTGCCACATGGACACTGCTGAAATGGTCCTGCTTTACTTACGTGGATGCGCCATGAGTCGGCCAGTGCAGAATGGTATCTGAGGGGTGTCGAGCACTCTGGACAGAGAATGCCAACCAGAGCGCCCTTAGCTGGCGCAGGGAGGAACCCTTCCTTGATGAATCAGTACCTTTCGTGAACAAGGGTGGCAATGACCATGATGCAAAATAAGTAACGTTCAAGATAGTTGGGTTATGAAGGCTTAGAAAGGGCGTGGACGAAGTGATCGATTCGATTTTGGGATGGTTTCTTGTGTTCGTGGTTGGATTTTTGTGATTGTGAAAAAACTTGTGATGAGTATATCGTACCATCGCCGTTTTTGGTCTGGATTGAAACATGTGGTTGCGATTGAAGAGATTTAAGACAACCATTTTGGGAATGGTCAAAGATGATGAAACAATATGAGTTGAAGAGGATTGGTGGATTGGGTGATTGGGTGTTCATGTGACAGGCTTCAACAGTAATCACGAAGGGAATCACAACATTCACGTAAGGTTTTGTACTTATACGTAGGGGTTGTTTTCCTTTATTACATGACATATGATATGCTACTGTGTATGCTAATACGCGGGGTGCTGTAATCTCGAATTCTCAGGAAAATCTCAGTCCCAAATTATCAGGATGAAAACCCGGATCCTCTGGGACTCCCTGTGACAGGGAGGTTCTTTTCCTCAGTAATAAGATGTTTTGAAGCTTTTGAAATCCAAAACTGATGTATGTAAGTACTTAAGAAATTGAATAAGGATTAAGGATTTTAGGCAGTGCAGTGAAACAGAGTGAAAGACTTGAATTGATGAATGAACTGAGAGAAAGTTGAATTGAAAATCTATTGAATACAAGTTTTCCAGAGAGAAGTTGACGATCGGGTATTTTTTTTTTTCTTTAATTGAAGGTTGATGATGAAAAAAGAAGAAAGGCACGATTCACAGATATGTACACACTATGAGATCACGAAATTGATTTACAAATCGTCCCGATGGATGAGAAGAAGAAGAATTTGATAACTGACTGACATGATTTGAAAGTTTCTTTAGATTTCTCATTCTTTTCAAGAACCCATTTCAAATCTCAAGTTTATAGTTCTTATTATATATCAAAACAAACACACACGCACACAGATTATTATAACACCCACACACACACGAGAATTATTAACGAAACCACATTGAACAGAAGATGATGAACATTAAAGGAAAGAAGAAGATTTTAAAGAAAGAAAAGAACATGAAAGAAGATTTATCAGGATGTTCTTCAGTTAGATTAAGAGGTCAACCAATTTCATTACCACTTAGTAATCCGAATCAAGCATCATGCTCTTATAATCCGGCATTGAAGACAGCAAGAAACTCATCAAGTTCGATCAGAGCAGAACAAGAAGCAGAAGCAGAAGAAAGAAAGAGATCGATGAGTAGTGAATCGAGTCATTCATCAATTTATTCGAATCATGAAATCGATTCATCAAGTAATCATACTGATGATCATCATCATCATCATCAGTTAAGTTTAATAAGTTTATCAAATCATCAAACTATTGCTGCTTTTAAACCATCTACATTAAGACAAACTACATTAACACAAACTACATCATCATCATCATCATCATCATCTTCATCAAGAAAGGAAACTAAATCGAAATCGAAATCGAAATCGAAATCGAATGCAATCAAGAATGAGACAAAGTGTAAATTAAGTGAAAGTAAGAGTGATGATTTAGAAGTTTATATTCAAAAAGTATTAGATCGAATCAGAATCAAATCAACTACAAATCATCAATCTTCAAGTCAAACTGATGACCACCATCATCATCAAATCAGATTGAAATCCAAAAACAAATTGAAAAAAATCAATCACAATTCAAATCGATCATCTATGATTTATCAAACCACTACTACTCAAGAACCAATGAACTTATCAAATCAACTTACTAATTCATTAAATCTTAACTTGACTTCTTCTTCTTCTCATTCTCATTCTAATCAGCAGCATCCAAATGACTCTAATCATACGTAAGTTTCATTCAATCCAATCAATCATCAAAATCACTGACCATCACTCTTCACAGATCATCAACCAATCCAACCTTTCATCAATCACCCACTAATACAAACTCATCTTCACCATCAAGTCCAACGACTTCAAACTCATTCAGTCTATCATCAATCTCAAAACCAGATCCACATTTACTCTTACCAAACCATCCATCTCATCAAATCTCACCTTCTGCTTCGGATCATGAATTAGCTTCACTCTATGCTAAATATCAATCTTCTTCTCATACTACTACCAACACTCATTCGATCAGTAGTAGTCCTCTTTCTAGTAGTGCTCATCTGAATTCAATCAAACCTATGGATTTGTATCAGTTTGATAAAACTTCAAATCCATCATCAACTAATCATCAGGATCATAATCAATCATCATCTATGGATGAGACTGAAGATCCAAATCAAACACTTCGATTCGATTCAGAATCATTCGAATCTTCAATCTCACTTCAAAATCAATCTCAAGTCTTGGATGAACTTAATCTGATGTTAGGAGAAGCTATCAATTCAGCTCATTCAGATTTCAATCATCTTCAACTCACCACTACTTCACCTCTCATTCATCAATCTGCTGCTCATAGCAACGAACCAGAGATGCCAGTCTCAACTTCTTACTCTTCACTTCTTTCGAGTGTCAAACGGAAGATTAATGCTAACAAATTGGAACGGCAACCGGATAGAAGAAGATCTCATTCTCCTCAAAAGATTTCACTTCAAGAAGCTTTATCATCTTTTGATCAGTCAAAGGCGGATTTGACGATTGCTAGTAGTACTTCGAGTCTTTCAGCATACAGTCAAGAGAAGCGAGGTATGGATGATGAAGAGGAAGCAGAACAAGAAAAGGTTGAGAAATGTAAGTGATCATTCATCTTCAATCTTATATTTTTATTCATCAGGTTGACTGTCTTTTTTTTTCTAGCTGATCGTCTCACACCTTTACCAATCACTAAAGCTCTTTCGAATGATGAATCTGAATCAAGTTCAATTCAACTCGATCAAATCACTTCATCATCATGCTCTACCTCCGTTGGTCATGATTCGAATCAACCCAATCAACAGTCACCTAGTCCGAGACTCAAAAAAAGTTCACCAACCAAACTTCCATCCAAGATTCCTTCATCTCCTCCAAGCCTTCAAGCACAATCCCCTAGTACACCTATACCTATTAATTCTTACCCACAACTCATCAGTACCATCTCACGTCCAGCGGACACAACACCTACTAAATCATCTCTTCCTGTCTCTCTTCCTATCACACGGCATCATCCAGTTTCACCTATGAATCTTCACCATAAGCAATCCTCACCTAATCTTGGACAAGCTCCTCGTAAATCACTGGTCATCAGTCGATCTTCATCTGAATTAAGTCAATTAAATCAATGGCAATGGTTAGAATCACATCCAACATCTGAACTTCGTGGTATACCAGCTACACATCCTACCACTTTATCTACTATTGAAACAGGACCGATCCGACAAGAATCGATGAGTAGGATCGAACGTAGGTTGAAATCACTTGATGATCACTATAGATCCCAATCACCGAAAGAAAGATCAAGTGAGATTCGAATGAAATTGAATTTGTTAAACAAACGACAAGAATGGACGAATGAATGTATCAAAAGTCTTTCGAAGAATCCGACTTCTAAAACCAAATCGATCAATCAGCTGTGTAAAGCACCTCATCTTATGAATATCAAAGCGATCCATCATAAAGAAATCAAAAAGATTAAATCGACCGTTGAAAGGTGTAGGATCTATGCTCAGAGTATTAATGAGATTAATTCGGTGCCGATCGGATTGGATTTATGGATTTGGTATAAGACTAATGGAGTTGATCAACAAGAATCAATTAAGATGTTGGAATCCAATTTTAATTCGAATCGATATCCAACTCATCTTCAACAAAGCCATGGACCGGTTCGTAGTAGTTTAGAAAAACTTGATCCGGTTCGACATTCTTCAACCAGAGTATTAGAAGAAGAAGTCGGAGCAAGATCGTCGATCAACAAATTAAATTATTTACCTACACCGAATTCTCAACCGATTTCACCGATTCCTAATCATTTACAACATTTCCAATTACCATCTCATCATCAAGTTTTACCACATTCTAGAGACGTTTCAAGTGGATCGAGTAGTGTGGTTTCGTTTCCTGTTAGATCAGATGCAGTTAAAGCAATCGAGATTACCGAAAAGAAAGGAACCCCTCAGTTAATGGAAGTGATCAGTAATAATACTAGTAGTAGTAAGAGTAGTGGAGGGATTAATCCTTTGATCCAAGTTGATAATTTACCGTTTCCTGGTCTTTATCAACATGGAATCCTTCCAAATCCAGTTGGACTCGAACAGAATGGAGGTTCATTCAAATCTAATCATCCTACAACTATTTTACAAACATCTCAAAACAAGCTATCTAATTCGATCAAACCTTTTTCTCAACCTTCTTCGCAGCAAAGAATCGGATTTTTAAGTCAGTTGACTAGACGTAATAGTCATAAGAAATCTAATGGATCTACATCACTTGGAACTTCTTTGGTTCAGAACAGTTCATCATCAGGGGGTTCAGGGGGGAGTAGGATCGGAAAGATTTCTTCACCAATCTCGATCACTCATACATCTACTGGATCAGCTATGGTAGGAAGAACTAGGATGGGGTTTGGAGGAGTAGGAGTAGGAAGTGTTAAGGGTCCTAGACCTTTGAGAAAACTTTCGAGTGTCGGATCTACGGTTTCGGATCTTGGAATTCGTGATGATCAAAAAGGGGAGAAGAACGGGATGGACAGGAAATCGATTGAGGTTGGAAGTTTGGGTGAGAAGTCGAGAAGGGATGGGCATGAGGAGAGGGATTTAGTAGAGATGGAAATCAAATTGAAAAGGATTATGAACGTTTTGCCTTTGGCTTGTAAAGATGAATTGAGGGAAATCCTTGGGAAAGAGAATGGGGATGAGATTGGTACGATTGTGAGTGGTTTTTTTTGGTTTTTTTGAGTTTTTTTTTGCTTGGGGTTTTTCTGCTTGGAGGGTTTTTCTTTTTGGAGGTTTTTTCTTTTTGGAGGTTTTTTCTCTTTGGAGGTTTTTTCTTTTTGGAGTTATCTTTTTGAGAAAAGAATGAAAGGGTTTTGGGATTGATTTTTTTTTGGTTTTTTTGGGGGGTTTTTAGGGAACTTATTTGAAAGTTGAAGAGGAAAGGAGGGGGAGGGGTAGGGGTAGGGTTGGAGGTGGGGGTGGAAGGAGGAGGGGATGAGTGGAGGAGGAGATGAGGGGATGAGGGGATGATGGTTTATTTTGAGGATATGGATTATTGAGGATATGGATTGAGGATTTGGATTTGAATTATGGATGATGATGATAATAATGACTTTTTAATATTTGATAATTTTCAACAAGATCTTTTTTCCTGCTTTGATTCTTTTTCTTTTCTTTCCTTTTTTGAATGATTTTTTGAATGATTTTCTTTTCTTTTTTTATTGAATGATTTTTCTTTTCTATGAATGTTTTTTTGAATGTTTTTTTTTGTTTGAATGTTTTTCTTTATTAAATGTTTTTTTTTGTTTGAATGTTTTTTTTTTGTTTGAATGTCTTTTCTTTTTATTTTCTTGAATGTTTGTTTAATTATTTTCATTATTCTAATCAAAAGACTTAGCAAAAAAAAGAACCAACTAATAAACCAACTAATAATCTAATGATTTTTCTGCTTCTTTGATGAATGAGAGTCAAGGAGAGGAAAGGAAAGGTACATTTGGTGTTTTTTTGTTAATGTTGAATCTTCATTGTAAAAGATTGGTTAAAAGGTGTGTATTTACATAATGTTCTCTTTCAAAAAGATTTTAAAAGGTTTATAAATAGTCAAATCAAGAGAATGAGTAGTTTGGATTCAAAGTTGGAGGGCATTGAGTGATGAGTGTATGTATTCATGAAGAGGGTTTGGAACAAGAGATTAGTTTTGAACTTTTGAAGGGTTTGGATATAATTTGTGTAAAAGTTTAAGTGGTGATGAGTGATAATGACTAGGTTTGAATTGAGGGAAGGTCTATGGACAATACAATTGTTTATGAAGATGTAGAGTGATCATTCAAATTGAGATTGAAGGATTGGATGCTATGGAGAGATATGTACATAATAAGAATGCTGTGTAAAGAATTCTTCTGAATGAAACTTTAAAGTGATCAAGTATTTATGAGTGGGTGTTTGGTATGGTATGGATAGGGTGGAAATTGAGTAGTAGAATGTGTTGTTGAGTTTAATGTAGTTTTGAGGAATGTAGTTTAGATAGGATTGGATTGAGATGATGAAGTGAAGTGAAGTGGTCAAGAAACCATCAATCGATTCAAGTCAACACCACCACCACCAGCTCAGCAAAAAGATCTTCATCATTTCTAATCAACTTCAACTTCAATCAATCCATTTCGATCCATCAATCCATTCTAATCAACCAAACCATTCAAATCATTCGAATCTATCAAATCTATCAAATGGTCTAAATGTCGATATCATTGCCTCAAATGATCATCAATCTAATCATATCATTGATTTAAAAATGGAAAAGAATCGAAAACGTTCAGCAGAAGCTCCGGCTTCTTCTAATCTATCTACTCCTTGTTCAGTTTACTATTTCATTTCATTTGATTTGATTTGATTCATGGATTCGTAATACTAACTTACTATCTCTTCAATCTTTTCGATCATAGCTTCTTCACGATCCGATCCTAGACCAAAACGCGCTACTAGTGAGCCATTACAACAACGCAATAAGCGTGAGCGATCACACTTATGAACTCTACATCATCATCCATATACACACATAGATCTTGGGTCGCGTGATGTACTGAGCAGTAAGAGTGGTGGAGTGTGACATCCAGAGGGATTTGGGTGGTTGGATTCGAATGGAATACTGATCGAGAACTCTTTTCTCTCTCTGTCTCTCTTTTGTTTGATTGATTAAATAAAAACACACCCTTCATGTTTCGATCACTCAATTGATGATCATCAACCTGTTCCTAGTCTCACCTTCCCCAACGGTTTTGGTAACTTCTAATAACTTCAGTCCTACTACCACTACTACCAATACTACCAATACTACCAACTTCACACCTTCATCTCTCGATTCTCATCCTTCTATCATGTTGGGATCTTTATCGTGAGTTGAAGCTTGGATAATCATCGAGGTCTCTGCACAACTTACTAATCAAATTCTCTTGTTCTTTCTTAAACTTTAAAAAACCATTCATCTTTCATTCACGTTATCGATCTTCAAATCTACGCTTCATCAACTCGACTTGATTCCTTCGATCAAAATCATCACTTGATCTCAATCTTTGTCTTCTTCACCTTGTTCGATTTCTCTTCATTATCCTCAACATCCATGATTGACACTTGCTTACCTTTCTCTCGAGTGGGTTCACCACCACACCTTTTCTTCTTTCTGGTCATCTTTGACTATCTCTCTTCCTTCATCTCATCACAGCTTAGAAATCTTGGTCTACGTGGCTAGTTTGGTGGGCGAACGAGAACTGATCCGATTAGCATGTTGCTCACGTCCACTTCGTTTGGCACTTTTGGCCTTACCCTTTCTATGGTCACAAAGATTAACCATCGAGATCTCGAATCCAAGCACAGTTGAACAGGTTCAAACTCTCTTTTTCGAACGAGCTGATCCTCGTCGATATCAAGCTCTCTCACCACCTATCTCGACTCATGGTCCTATCGGACGATGGATCGTTCATTCTCAAGCTACAAGAGATCGACCACTTCGACGATTATCGCTTAGATTAGCACCACCTCTCTTATCACTCAATGAAAGAGGAAATCGTTATGTGATCATACCCGATCAACCTTATTGGAACACCAACTTACTGGTTCATAATCTTCGAGCCATCAGAAGCTTGTTAAACTTAAACTTTGGATTGATGTATGTGGGATTGATGGAATTGGATATCAGATTAGATGGTCAATTTGATCAAACCCTTCAGATTGCTCATGAACTTTGGACGTTTATTCAAACTCCTTGGGCACGTACTGTGGTAGACTTTAAGGTCAGTTGATCTCTCTTCTTGAACTTTGATTGTTCTTTTTTTACTTGGATATCCGAGCTCTTTGAACCTATCTGGGAGATTTAGTACAAGTTATTACTACTTGATTCTTAAGAAGCGTACCTACGCGTTTCTGTTTTCATTCTCTTCTTCTTCTTCATGAACGTCTCTTTTTCAATCTGGGATGAGTTACAGTGGTAGGTATAGGATGACTTGTGGAGGGGATGAGATTCGAAGCGTGACCTCTTGAATGAGTTTCAACATTCACCTTCATCCAAATCACTGATATATAGATTGCCTTTTCCCCCATGACCAACAACAGTTTCTCGTCTCGTATCCTTACGCTCGAATTCCACCTAGGACACTTTTTGGATTAATGACTTGGATGCCAGATTTAAAAAGTGTTGAAATAGAAGTGGTACCAGGAGTGAGTGGGATTCATCGAAAACCGACTTCAAGAGATCCTAAGTTTGCATTAGGTGGAGGGAATGAGATACCAGAACAGGATCCTAATGGAGAACCTATGATAAGTAAATTAGAAAGGATCAGTTTGGTTGGAATGGAATTAGGTCAACTTGTTTTACCGGATCAATTTCCAGTGTTACGTTCTTTGTTACTTAAGAATGTAGGTTGGGGACGGATGTTGTTTAGTCTTTTGAGGAAATCACCGAATTTGGTTTCATTGATTTTATATTCTGTTGAATTTGAACATGAATCTGATGATGAAGTACCATTAGATTTATCATTTTGGGTAAGTGATTTGAATATTTATCCATTTCTTTTTTGGAAGATCAACTAGTTTAAAAACTAATATAGGATTTTTTCTTTTACAAATTTTAAAAGGAGAATCTAGATGAAGAGATGAGTGAATTAGGATCAGATGAATCAGCACTTGGACAATTAAGACCACCACCGATTCAATTAAATTCATTAAAGAATTTAGAATTAGCCGGTATCACCACACCAGTGATATGGTCCTTGATTGGAGATTTAATACCGAATCCGATTATAAAGATGCCTAATTTAAAACGATTGATGATGGAAAGTATGGAATTAGATGAAGAAGAACAAGCTTTGATTGAACTCACCACTTTGGCACCTTTGATTAAAGAGATGGTTGTTAGGAATTGTACGTTGAGAGAAGAAGCTGATTTGTATCATTGTATTAGATGTTTACCTTATCTTGAGATGGTAAGTTTTGATTTTTTTTTCCTCGTCCGTCTTGAGTGAGATGATGAGAAACTGATGTTTGGTTTGGATGTTTGATTGCTTTGGAATGAGTTTAGTTAGATTTAAGACAAACTGAAAATATTACATCTCAATTAATCAATGCATTAGCATTATCAGTACCCAATATATCATATTTAGATGTAAGAGGATGTGGATGGGTTCAAATCGGATCAGTAGCCAGATTAGCCGAAACAATAAGAGATTCGTCAGATGGATTGAAACGATTAGAATTGATTGGAGTAGATTTACCTGGGTATGATGATTGGGAAGGATGGGAAGCATGGAAATGGTTGGAGTTTACACATGTTTTGATTGATGTAGAAGAATGGAAAGAGAGAAGAAGGTATCGAAAAGATAAAGGAAAGGAAGTCTTGGGAGGACCAACAGGAGGAGCAGGAGGAAGAATAGAAGAAGAAAAGGAAATGAATGGGAGTAGTAGTAGGGGAGAAAGAGAACGGGTTGGGTTGAGAGTTGATAGAGATCGAGATAGGGATCGGAATAGGGAAAGGGAAAGGGAGAGGGAAAGGGATGAATTGGAGTTGGATTTAGAGGATGATGATGATTTGGAAAGTGATATGGAAGAACTTATGGATGATGAGGATGGCTTTCAAGATGAAGGGATGACTGAACGGATAGAGATTAGTGATAGTAGTGGAGGAGGAGGTGGTGGTGGTGATGGAGTAGTAGTCGTTGATGAAGTTGGGGTTCCTGTTGTTACTGCTGCTGCTGTGGGTGGTGGTGGTGTGGGTGTGGGTGATGCTGGTGGGGAAGAAATGGAAAGAGCTCATCCTAGAGTTGTCTTGAGGAATTTGTCTAGATCTTGATGAATTATAAAACTTTTTTTTTGAAGATATTTAAGATTTTTTTCTTTTTTTGTGATTAGGCTTTGTGTTAGTGCTTAGAGAGAGAGAGAAAGAGAAAAAAAAAATCAAATGATGATGAAAATGAGTAGTTTATATAAAGATATATATCTATATAATCTTTTTTGTTGAATCTTTTGTTTTATATCTTGTGATTTTTTTTATGTTAGAAGAGGTTTAAGGGGTTTTTTGATTTTTTTTTTCTGGAGAGGGTGGGGTTGGAAGGAAGTTTTGATGGGGAATGTTCAATGCAAGAGGATTGGATTGAAGAGAGGGGTTTGAGGTTTTTGAAAGATTGTATACTAAAGAAAAGTAATGAGAATTTAGGAAAACTAATGAGAACTTGGGAAGATATTAGAGAACTTAGGAAGAGTAATGAGAAATTTGGAAAAAAAAAAAAGAGAAAATAATGGCTCTCAAAGTAGACACCTGGTTTTGCAAAAAAAAAACATGGTTGACCTAGTTAACTTTTTGGTTGTGAGATGGTAAGAAATGGTAAGTTGATATACACAGAGTTATTGATAAAAAGTAACTGGGTCAACTGAGTTTTTCTTGGAACTGGGTCTACTTTGAGAGCCACTAATGAACAAACTTAACCAAATTCATGAGGAATTGAGAAAAGTAATGAGAAATTAAGAAAAGTAGTAAAAAATTAAGAAAATCAATGAGAAAATAAGGGAATGAAAGAGAATATAATGGCTCTCAAAGTAGACATCTGGTTTTACAAGAGAACATGGTTGATCCAGTTAACATTTTGGCTGTGAGATGGTAAGAAATGGTAAGTTGGTATACACAAAGTTATTGATCAAAAAGTAACTGGGTCAAACTGGGTTCTTGTTGAAACTGGATCTGCTTTAAAAAGCCACTAATTAAGAATATCAACCCAATTTGTGAGAAATTGAGAAAAGTAATGAGAAATTAAGAAAAGTAATGAGAAATTAAGAAAATGATAAGAAATTAAGAAAATAAATGAGAAAATAATGGGTCTCAAAGTAGACACCTGGTTTGAAAAAAAACATGGTTGAACCAGTTAACATTTCGGTTGTGAGATGGTAAGAAATGTTAAGTTGGTATACACAAAGTTATTGATCAAAAAGTAACTGGGTCAAACTGGGTTCTTGTTGAAACTGGATCTGCTTTGAGAGCCACTAATTAACAAAATTGACCAAATTTGTGAGAAATCAAGAAAGCAAATGAGAAGATAATGGGTCTCACAGTAGACACCTGGTTTTACAAAAAAAACATGGTTGAACCAGTTAACTTTTTGGTTGTGAGATGTTAAGAAATGTTAACGTGATATACACAAAGTTATTGATAAAAAGCTGGGTCAACTGGATTTTTCTTGGACCTGGATCTACTTTGAGAGCCGCTATTCATTTACAACTTGAATCAACATGCTCATCAAGAGTCATCATCATCATCTCATTGAGTGATACATAAAAGTGAGCAAGATTTCAAGAGTTCTCTAAAGAATGTTTACTGAAGGATTATTACAATTTGGGCCCCTTACGACACAATCTAGTTTTGTAACTGTTTTGATCTCTTACAACTCCTTCAAATAAATTATAAAATGAATTCTATAATGCTGTATACTAAATTTTCAAATCGAAAAAATGATCAATTATTCCAATAAATCCTTGTCAGCCCAATGATATGCATTCTGATATTCAAATTCCGAATTTGAACAATTAGAAAAAATCTCAATGAATTCGAGGGTTGAGATGCATTGATATGTGATTGGAATTTGAACAAGCCAAAAAAAAATGAATTCATCTTGATGAGTTCCAACAGTATCTTTGAAAGCATTGACTGCAAAGACCTTCCCTTGGAATTTTCTGTCGTTCTCGAGACCTATCAACCACAGCGCAGGCGAGACATGCGGACCAAAGTGGATCACGAAATACTCGGTTTTTGATATTGTCGGCGCTAGGGAATCCTCGATAAGCGACTTCTGAAGCTGCACCAACAAAAGCTTCGACTTGTCTACGTGGATACTAAGAATGGAATTCTCTCAGATTTCAGATCTACTAGATTTTTATGAAAGAGATTGGTTATCTTACCTGGATTTGATCTACTGATGTGTTTGTGATACCAGCTGATCCATCTAGAGGGGCTGAATTAGGTAGCCATACGATCAACGGGGCGGCCGTCTCGTCACAACCGAAAAAAATCGGATGCGATCTTATCTTCTCGTACTCCACTTCCGAACTTGGTACGCGAGGAAAATTGTAGGCACCTGACATAAGCTGAGCTCTGGCGAATGTGGCTTGTAGCGAATTCCCGGTGGCATAATTTGATCCTGCTGCTGCATCCTATATGATATGCCAAAATACTTGCATTAGAAGCTGAACATGTAAGGGTAGATAGCAAGGCGTGGTAGTAAGTATTGAGGGGGTACTGACCTTAGTTAAGCTGATTGAGTCGATACCAATGATAATGTCTACTTTTCGGGCTGGGATCAGCAGTGGGAGATAGGGTGTCACAGCTGTAAAGAGCATTTTATGTAAATCAGACTAGTGAGATGATCTGAGGGTAGGATATCAATCTTACCACCATCGTAACCTCCGTCAAGGAGCCGAAGATCGGTGGATTCTCTGTCCAGATAAGTATTGGTCCCAACCTGATAGAAAGGATTGGGGACTGAGGCTGTGTCGAGAGATATACCAGGTTGAGAGCTTGCAAAAGTGTTGTTAATGGAGGTGATGATATTGTGTACTGAACTCTGGTTAAAGAAGTAAGCTGTACTGATGTTGAGTTTTGGAAATATATTACTGGAGATAGCAGCAAGATAACTAGCTTGATCAAAACCTTGAGCGCACTTCTGAGATGTTAACTTTCCACTTTTTAAGCGAGTACCTAGATATTCTGTTGGTATAAAGCTAGCCAAGTTTGCATCCCAACTTCCTGACTCTATTGGTGTGAATTCGTATGCGGTGTTCGTCAATGGGACGAAAGCCCCAGGTTGCAGTTTTTTGTCTTGGCCAGGTGAGATCGGGAGAGCCGTGATGATAGGGAAAGGTTGTTCAAAACGTTGAAAGCTGGAGCTGAGCGTAGAAAAGAAGGATATGCAAGTAAGCCACCATATCAAGATTCCGCTCTTCGTATTTGAGCAAAATTCCTTACACTTTTCTGATACTCGAGAAAGTGACATCTACACCGTGTGGTAGAGATTGATCAAAGAAGTTATGTTCCGTGGTTCCATTGATGATACGATAACGAAGCAGTAATGACCAAAAGTCTACCATGGTGACATGAAATCCAGCCTTGGACTTTTGGGCCATTTTTGCCATGATATCGGCCAAATAATTTGCATTCTTCTCTGCAATTCCTTTTCCATCATCAACTGTTTGATTATCGGCAGGCTGATAGAAAAAGTTGACATCAATTTTCGAACAAAGAACTCATGATCATCAAACTCAACTCACACTGAACAAATCATATTGAACCAAAAAACTTCCAAAGTGGTTTTCTTTGTTTAGATTCTGTTTTGGATTCTTTGAAAGGGCTGTATCATATAATGATGGATAATTAGCCTGAGAGAGAGCAGTGACCACCCAAGCACCACCACTGAGACCGACTATATAATCGCTGGCTTGTAAAAGTCCACCCGTACCAACATCAGATGAAGTTTTGTTTCTTGCGTCGAATGCATTCAAAACACCGCTCGAATACAATGCCGCGCGGAATCCTCCACCAGAAGCTGCCAATGCAGTACGAGGTAGGATGTTGAGATTCTTTGATGTGAGTATAGTATCGAGATAGGCAGGTATTACATTATTACTGGATACAGTATGGTTCCAATCACCTAGTTTTCGGCGGGTATTCGCATCAACTGCCGGTGCAGCTTTCAAAGATTGTTTTACATTGCGCAGATAAGTCCTGTAGGCTGGACCCGCTACTTGTTGACGACGGCGCTGGAGGTAATCAACTTCAGATGGATTCAATTTCTGAGAGCCTTTTGTACCGGCATTTCTAAGTGTGAAATTGCCTGGACATTGAATGTGAGCGATGGTGGCCGCATGGTTGGGAAAGGATAAAGTATAGACAAAGAAGAATAAATAATTGAGGGCGAGAAAAGTTGAACAGTTGGAAGATTTAAACATTTTGACAGCCAGCTATGAGAAGAAAGAAAGAATGAGGAGACCGGATGGTTGTAGGATAAGTGTCGTGGTGAGTAAATGCACAAGGAATCAAATCAGTTCATTTGAGTGAATAACATAACATCGTAAGAAAAAAATTGATGAGAGGAGAATTGAAGTTGAACTCTGTAAGAGATCAAACTTGGTGATAGAGTGAAGACCGAGAACTGCACGGAAGCCTGCTTCATTGAATGAATGCTCACTCATTCAAATTCTTTCGATTTCGATATATTCCATCATCGATACTTCAAAAAGGGGGGTTCCAGGGCCTATACCCTAACTACATTCTTCACTTGAGCAAATCAAATCGTTTTTTACATTTAGGTTGATCATGACGATGTTGTGATGCATAAGTCACCAACCCCCCCTTCATTCAACGAGCCAGGCTGATTGAAGATTTTTGCAAAGTATGTGAAATTGCGGGGCCGGGTCATACCCCTACAGGAAAGTACACTTGGACAATGTGGCACGTGATCGTCCCACGGGATTCGTGTATTTTCATGCTGATCGTCTTATTACACATGAATCTGATTCCGCATCTTCAGGCCATACCCACCAGTTCTTTTGGAAGTGTACGTCGACCACGACGTCCCTTCCAAGATTTAATGACTGCCAGTGGTAGCTCTGTGGTCATATGTTTTCCGCCAGAATCGAGTGAAATTCCAAAACTAGGATCAATCTGCACTTAACCAAGGCCCCTTCATCGAGCGAGCAATCCTCACCCCAGGAGAGGGTCCCACGGCGCGCGTGGTGGGGCTTGTGTTAATCTAGGGATCAATCCGGGTGTGAGAAAAAAAAACCTTGCTCAAGTTTTCTACCTTGTGG